GCTTCTGTTCGTTTGTAAATAAAAAAATAACCGCAATAAAGTCAAGGGATTGCAAAAATTTTAGGATAACCTAAAATGTCAGGTTCATGCAGCACCTGTAACGCAGCAGTCATTTTTAAAGAACCCAATAAATCGAAAAACGAACTCTTTGGATATCCCTGCGACCACTGCAAAAAGGTAAAATGCCAAACTTGTGGGGACATTACTGGCCCAACTGAAATTAGAGCCATAGTTCTTTCAAAACGAGCTTTTCCGTTCTACTGCAAATTATGCTTGGCTAATGTGAAGCGAATACTGGGCCTAATGGATCGTGTGGAACAACTTGAAAAATCTCTTGAGGATCTACAAAATAACTTACCAACGTTAATTCAAGAGTCTGTGGTCGCCGCTACAACCTCTATTGAGGAAAGAATCACTCGTTTGGAATCCATTACCACAAATACACCGAGCCAACAGGTTCCTTCAACGACTTCACCACCACCTTCCACTACATCTATTGATTTGCTAACTGAACTTCATGACCGTTAGAGTAAAGCTAATAATTTACTACTCTTCAACTTATCTGCGTCAGAAGATGATTTTTCAGAGGTTCGCTCTATACTACAGTTACTGGGTGGCACTCAATTTACGCTTTGTCGGGTGTCCGGCTTTGGCAAGCCCAACTCAAATACTGCATGCCCTATGCGAGCTGTATTGGGATCACCATATAAAGTTCAGACTGCGCTTCGCAATCGACATAAACTCAAGGGCAAACAAATCTACATAAAGTGTGACTTGACACTTAGACAGAGAGAACTTGAAAGAACAGCGTTGGAAGATCTGAAAAGACGCCAGCATCAGGGTGAGCCGAACATACAAGTTAAACTCGTCAAGAGCATTTCTCGAATCGTGCCAAAAAACCCCCCGAGGGGTCAAGCCTCAGTAACACCAAACACACCGCAGAACGTAGAAAAAAAACAGTAGGTTATGACATATACTACCAGAATGTTCGTGGTCTCAGAACAAAGCTGGACAAACTTCGTTGCAATATAGCTGTGAATAACTATCAAATAGTGGCCTTCACTGAAACTGGTTTAAGTAAAAACTTACACTGCCGAGCTTGGTTTTGATTCATACAATGTGTTTCGCTGTGATCGCTCAAGAGCTACCAGCACTGCTGAGCGCCTTGGTGGTGCCCTGATCGCTGTTCATTAGTCAATACCATCCCGTCTGCAACAGGTCACATCGAGCAAGCTTTTGTCGTTGTAGGCAGTGGTGGAAAAAAAAAAGTCCTGGGCTGCGTATACCTTCCACCAAACTCCCCAATTGAGAAGTATGAAAGCTTTAGTAACAACTTGGAAGATATCTCTGAAAAATTCAGCCATACTGAATGTTGCATCATGGGGGATTTCAATCTCCCCAAAGCCAGCTGGACTTTAGAAGACATCTGTTCAGTGGCTCACCATAATATGGAGGGTTACCTTGCTCCCACTGAAATCAATAAAATACAACATAATGTCAGAAGTATGTGCTTTTCACAATCTATACCAGCTTAATAACATTTATAATATCAATTATGTCTCCCTTGACTTGATATTCTGCCACTCAAGGATCCCTATAACTCAGCCAGATGAAGATGACTGCCTGCTTCTGTTGGATAATAACCATCCACCCCTGTTGTTTAAAGCCACACTGCAACAAAATCACTGCAATTCAAATCCACAGGGAGATGGATACTATTATGATTTCAAAGCCTCAAACTTTAACGACATAAACTATTTTCTTGGCTCTATTTCCTGGGATGAGCTGCTTTTGAACAAGTCTGTGAATAAGATCATTAACATTCGTTATAGTTTTTTATATGAAGCCTTTGATCTCTTTGTACCTGTTAAAAGAATAGCCAGTGGAAGGTTTCCCAAATGGTTCTCACAGGATTTGAAGGCATTCATTATACAGAAAAAAATCTTACACAAAAAATATAAACAAAGTCGCCTAACTTCGGATTATCTGGCATTTTCTGACTTGCGCTCACAGTGCAATCTGCTCTCTAGTGAGAATTTTCGTGAATACCTAATTGAAACTGAATCGGCATTGCAGCGTGACCCAAAACAATTCTGGTCCTATACCAAATCTATACAAAACTCGAGTAAGCCTCCTTCAAGTTTTAGACATAATGGTGAGTCGGCAGCTATGGGTCCTCCTCAAGCTGCCGAACTCTTTGCCGAATACTTTGGTTCAGTCTATACTGATCAAGTATTGGATTTCCCAGATCAACTTTCTCTATCTCCTCACAATTTATTTGATTTCACTATTCCTATCTCTGACATCTACCTGGAGCTAAATAACATTGACCCAAACAAGGGACCAGGGCCTGACCATATCCACCCGCTCTTTCTGAAAAACTGCTGTTTTATTTTGTCCAGACCCTTGCATATAATTTACAACAAGTCTCTGAGGGACGGCACGGCTTCTTTCCTGAGTATTGGAAAGCCAGTTATGTGGTGCCAATTCTTAAATCCGGTGACTCATCAGATGTGACTAATTATCGCCCAATTTGCATCATCGGTCCAAATCCTAAAATCTTTGAGAATATTGTGACAAAATTTTTATCATCATCTTTAAGCAGCGAAATTATATCCGAGCAGTTTGGCTTTAAAAAGGGGTCATTAACGGAAATTAATCTTCTTACATACTATGACTTTCTGACAGGCGTCTTGGAGAGGGGTGAGGGGGTACATACTATATACCACAGATTCTATATACACCCAAGGCGTTTGACAGAGTCAATAATTTAGTCCTGATCAAAAAACTAGAGACTTGGCATCTCTGGCTCTCTGCTTCGATGGGTGGAAAGCTATCTTACAGGAAGGACACAGATAGTTCATATATTAACAACTTTACCTCCTCCCAAATCTTGGTGTCATCAGGTGTTCCTCAAGGCTCGCATTTAGGCCCACTGCTCTTCAACCTGTTCATCAATGACATATATTCTTGTTTCCTACACTCTTCATTTCTTCTTTTTGCCGATGACTTGAAATTATTTTTGAAAATCGTTACTCTTGATGACTGCCATGCACTGCAAGAGGATCTTGAAAGGTTAATGCAGTGGTGTTAAACTAATGGCATAGATCTTAATGTTACGAAGTGTAAAGTTATGAAATTCCACAAGTCTAGAACCTTTAATGACGGCATATATCACATCAATGGTACGCCATTGGACTGCGTGAATCAGATCAGGGATCTGGGTGTCTTGCTGAGCTCCAATCTTGATTTCTCTTCACACATCGATGCCATAGTTAACAAAGCACTCCGGATGCTTGGGTTTGTAAAGCGTAGTACAAGGGAATTTTCGAATATCAACTCCATCAAAACGTTATACTTCTCATTTGTTCGTACACATCTTGAGTATGCTGCATCTGATTGGAGTCCAAACTATGCCTGTCATATTCATCGCCTTGAAGGTGTGCAGCGTAAATTTTGTAGATATCTCAATTACAAATTTTTTAACGATGAGGAATTTCATTATGCACCACTTTGTGACGCACTCGACTTATCAACCCTTTGCTTAAGAAGGAAGCAGAAACACCTCAAACTGATACATAAAATCGTAAATTCCACAATTGATTGCCCCTACTTGACTTCTAAAATAGCCCTACATGTCCCATCACGTAACACCCACACATCTCAAACTTTTCATCTTCAATTTCACAGAACCAACTATGCATTTCACTCTTTCATTCCTCGTACCCTCAGACTGTGTAATGAGCTGGGAGACATTGATTTTTTTGGGCCCTATGAACCATTTGCGAGAACTGTCACTGGCCTCAAGTTATAATTATTGTTATTTTATTCTGTGATTTTGTATTTAGTTTGATTTAACTTAATTTGATTTTATTTAATTTAATTAAGTACCTATCATGGATTGCCACTTATTGCATTCTTTGTTTCTGCTTTATCTATTTTGATTGGTATTATGCTTTTATTATTTACTTGTTGTTTCACTTGTATGTACACTTTGTTAATTTTTAATGGGCTTGACCCGTCAATAAATAAATAAATAAATTATAGAAATTCCGGTTACTTCAAAAATCTCGGTCTTAGGCATTAAATACCCAGTGCAGATCAAAAGACTCAGCCTATACAAAATATCTGAAAACTCAGAGGCATTGGTTCTGATCAGGTTTGAAATTATTATTGGTGCAAAGATATTCCACATGTTTAATTTCTCAAATATTTTCGTTGATTGATATTATTAAAAAAATACCAACGAAACAGAAGAAGGAGTAATTGTTCCATTCGCTTTAGCATCAAGTAGGTCATTTAGCTGTAACATTTTAAACAAGTGGGCTCGCTATAATACACAACAGTTATTTCGTATGGTTAATTTGATCTAACACTTCTAGTAAATCGTTCGTTGGCATATGTTTTAATATACTTCTTAGCATAATAGGATGTACTCTATATAATTTAATATTCCTAATTTAGTATAGGAAATTTCAATAATTGACTATTTCCTGTCTCGGCGTTAAGATTTAGAATTCCAGTTCGCAGAAATTCTTATGACCGGTTGTGAATTAGTCACAAACAACCTTGAAGTTCTTTTTTTTTTGAAATTTCCTTAATACAATGAATAATGTATTTTTTAAGTCAAAATTAAAAATTTTGCGGTAGCTCATGTGCTCGATTCTGTGTGTGTCACTTTCTACATTCTATTGGCCATTTTTATTATTAATTAAATTCTTGTAGAAACCTACATTCAGCCTAATACCAAATTTGAGAATGTTTTCGAATATAAAAATGAAGAAATTAATTTTTTAAGCGGCTTTAATATTTTAACTATGCGCCTGTACCTATAGTTTATTCTAAATAAACTGACTATGACAGTGCCAATATCCTTAGTTTTTACCCAATATCCTTATCAGAATACCATTAAATAAAATTGTTGCCACAATAAAAGCATTATTGTTTAATCACAATTGAATGAATCATTATTAAAGTGTATTTTTCTATTAATTTTACAGCTGCACGATAATCTAAACATTATCAACAAATATGGCAAACTAAGCAGAATTTGACGCAAATTAAGTCGCAGTCGATCACCATTATTTTAATAAAGTGGATTACTTAAGCTGCTGTGTTGTGATTCTACGATGTTCCTTCCTCATTTCTTGATAGTTTGCAGCCTTTTATATGAATCACTGGCGCTACTTGAGGGACCCAATGTGTGTACGCGACAGGAAACGTAAGTAACTTAGATTTGTATTTATTTTATGCCTATGGGAGATCTCCAGCTTTATTTTTCAATTGATTTGTTATTGAAATTTCTTCCTGGCTGGAGTTTTTATATCTTTTTTATTGATCTTTCTTTTATGAAGCCCAGTACTTGAACTGGGAGTACTGGGACTATAAAGTTTTATCTATGTTCATAAATATCCTTGTCAGAAAATATACAAAATATAGGTACTTGAGTTTCTAACAAGTACCTAATTCAAAACCTAGACTGATTAAAAGGTCCTATAAGCAAATAACCCTGTTGATATTGAAAATAAAGTGCAAAATTTTAGTACCGATTATATTTTGCAATCTAAAATTATCAAAACATATTTTATCGAAAAAAAATGCATTCAATATGCTGCAACGCAGTCTACTTACTTTCTCTATAATACTGATATGAGGCAACTAAAGTTGTTGCATAATTACACACTCAAATCAGAAGGTAAGTATTTATTTAATTTTTGGCATAAAAATTACAAGTATTTTAGTATAAATAAGAGTTCTTCTAATTTAAATAGAGATACCAGAAAATGGCTTTGAACTATAAATGTTTAGTTGTAACTTAGGTAACTACATAAATTAGGTTTTGCAAACTTTAACAAAAAATATTGGTTCTTCCTCTTCCTAATATGAAAAAAAAAGAGTAATTAACAATCCCATACATTGTCATTCTGTATTTACCTACCTCTCAAGGGAAATAAGTAGAAGGAAAACTCTTATGATATTTAAAATAAATAGCTCAGAATTATTGTAATTTTCGAGGAAAAATTAATTTCATCTTTGAAATTTATTTTTCCAAATTTTAGTTGTCTTTTTTTATTTACCTTCATGTTATACCGAGGGGTTTTTCACCTAACAAAATTTGTACACCGATCAACAGTACTAACTGAGATATTTCCATGTATTAACAAAATATTTCCATATATTGCCAGGTATTTCCCTAGTATTATCACATTTTACCAGGTATTACCATGCTATTGATAAACTAAAATCAAATATATTTGTTTTGCCAGAATTCTAAGGTATTGATATATCCACAGGTATTTACATGTTATTAATGGGTATCAACAATGGTATCAACCAATGACATTAACATACAGGGTTAGTAAAAAGTACTGCAACACTTAAATATCTTCAAAACTGCTTAAGCCGCGTTTACACAAGTCGGAATCTGACAGTTTTTGGACATGCGGAATTCAACAGTGCTATTGCTAATATTGCCAGATTTCCTAGTTTTGCACTACACGTAGTCTTTTTGTTATCTAAAATAGAATGCCCCATTTATTTTTATTGCAATGAATTTGATAAGATTCCAAACTTTCAGAATTCTATTGCTACTAGTTGCTGAAATATGACAAAACCGTATTTTCGGTGAAAAGTATAGCAACGCTTGAATATCTTCAAACGCTGCTTAAGCACGTTCACGAAATTTGGTATCTGGGGGTTTTCGGGCAAGCGAAATTCAACCGTGATATCGGCATTGTTGCCAGACTTCCCAGTTTTGTGCTAAACGTAGTCTTTTTGTTATCTTCGATAAAATGCCCCATTTATTTTTATTGCAATAAATTGGACGTGCCAAAGGACCCCACACAAAAAGATAGGAAAAGTGGTCCCGGTCAAATTGTCTGAAATTTTGATATGATATACTTCTCGTCATCCTGATTAAAAGCTGTCATGGACGCAAAAAAATCTATAGCTCCTCAAAGACGTCATTTTGGATATATGTATATTTCAAAGTTCAAACTTGTATTGGATATTATTTCGTTTACATAATTTGGTCAAAAACTATTTGAAATAAAGTAAATAAACTTTAAAAGATCAGAAATTCTCCACAGAGGCACAAAAATCTGTTGAGTTGACTTCGAGTTATAGCGTGATATTTTTTTTTTTTAATTTGGTCAAATATTAGTGAAAGAGAAGTGAATGATTTTTTTAAATGAAGATAAGTACCTACCTATTTGAGTGAAAAGCTCACAGTTTCTCCCATATACCAGGTTTGTTTTTAATAACAAAACACTGAAAATTATATAGGTACCATCGTCACCAAAAGTAACTGGGACAGCATTATATTAGCTCTGGTACTATTATATGATTTTTAGTGTCAAATATTTGTCAAACTATGAATTAAATGCATTGAAATGAATGACAGTTGAATTAGTCCAGGAGACTATTATGCTTTATTTGTGTCCCAGATACTTTTGGTGACGATGGTACATAGTTTGCTAAAAATTAGAAATAAATATATTTATGAAAATAATGGAAAAAAGCGAGGTGGATTTTAATTTTAATTGATAACACGTAGCGCAAAGTCACCCTTATTCTGATCATTGGGATAATTCAGTAACAGGTCTATTTCCAATTCATTATTTGCCCCTTTGCGCATAGTGTCCTGAATGTAAGACGGCAAGATTTATTTGATAGGCAGACACCTACATACAGTTAAGACCTTCAGATATTCTAGATCCAAATGTGGATGGACGCAGGTTTTCTTGTTCGATTCTAACTTGCAAATTATTTTCGGTAAGCGATCTTTGTCATATTTTTCGGGTTAGCTCAACTGTTGCTTCTTGTATTAATACCGTACCGGCGACCGGTAGTTATTGAACATGGCCCTATAAATTCTGTAAAGATCGCGTAAATATTTTCAGTAGGCCATAGATATAGTTATATCGAAAAAACGAAACAAATTAAAAACATATGTAAAAATGTCCGTTTCTTGCTTCAATATTCCATCGTGTTTTAGTTATTAGTCTTGATATATATAGGGTGTTTGGCGGAGGGTTAGCCAAACTTGGTGAGCGTATACATAGGCCAATTTCGAAGATATTTTATTAATACACTTGTGCCCTTAAGTAACTTCTTTTTTTTATATAGGGCCATGTTCAATAACTACCGGTCGCCGGTACGGTATTAATGCAAGAAGCAACAGTTGAGCTAACCCGAAAAATATGACAAAGATCGCTTACCGAAAATAATTTGCAAGTTAGAATCGAACAAGAAAACCTGCGTCCATCCACATTTGGATCTAGAATATCTGAAGGTCTTAACTGTATGTAGGTGTCTGCCTATCAAATAAATCTTGCCGTCTTACATTCAGGACACTATGCGCGAAGGGGCAAATAATGAATTGCAAATAGACCTGTTACTGAATTATCCCAATGATCAGAATAAGGGTGACTTTGCGCTACGTGTTATCAATTAAAATTAAAATCCACCTCGCTTTTTTCCATTATTTTCATAAATATATTTATTTCTAATTTTTAGCAAACTATGTACCTATATAATTTTCAGTGTTTTGTTATTAAAAACAAACCTGGTATATGGGAGAAACTGTGAGCTTTTCACTCGAATAGGTAGGTACTTACCTTCATTTAAAAAAATCATTCACTTCTCTTTCACTAATATTTGACCAAATTAAAAAAAAAAAAATATCACGCTATAACTCGAAGTCAACTCAACAGATTTTTGTGCCTCTGTGGAGAATTTATGATCTTTTGAAGTTTATTTACTTTATTTTAAATAGTTTTTGACCAAATTATGTAAACGAAATAATATCCAATACAAGTTTGAACTTTGAAATATATATCCAAAATGACGTCTTTGAGGAGCTATAACTCGAAAACCCCTCGATAGATTTTTTTGCGTCCATGACAGCTTTTAATCAGGATGACGAGAAGTATATCATATCAAAATTTCAGACGATTTGACCGGGACCACTTTTCCTATCTTTTTGTGCGGGGTCCTTTAATAAGATTCCAAATTTTAAGAATTCTATCTCTACTAGTTGCTGAAATATGCCAACACCGCATTTTCAGTGAACGGTATCGCACCGCTTGAATATCTTTAAAACCCGCTAAAGCTCGTCCACTAAATTCGGTATCGGAATTTATGGGCAAGTGAAATTCAGCTGTGATATCGGCACTGCTGCCAAGTTTCCCAGTTTCGCGCTACACGTCTTTTTGTTATCTTAAATAAAATGCCCTATTTATTTTTATTGCAATGAATTAGTCCAAATTTTAATGAGATTCCAAATTTTCAATATGCTTCTTGTACTGTTAGATACTACTATAGTGAGAATCATTCTGGGATAGTTACCTACCTTCCTACCTATTTCAGGAGGAGCCGCAAACTTATTAGAAACACCCGGAAATGTGAATACCTTATGAAGAAGTAACATGTATTAAAAAAAAAAAAAAAAACTATATGCCACGAGCAAGACTACGTGTAGCGCGGAACTGGGAAACTTGGCAACAATGCCCATATCACAGTTGAATTTCGCTTGCCCATAAATCCCCAGATACCGAATTTAGTGGATGAGCTTAAGCGGGTTTTAAAGATATTCAAGCTTGCGATAGCGTTCATTGAAAATGCGGTTTTGGCATATTTCAGCAACTAGTGGAGATAGAATTTTGAAAATTTGGAATCTTATCAAATTTGATAAGTTCAATTTATTGCTATAAAAATAAATGGGGCATTCTATCCCAGATAACAAAGTGTAGCGCAAAACTGGGAAATCTGGCAACAGTGCTGATATCACGGTTGAATTTCGCTTGCCCAAAAACCCCCAGATACCCAATTTCGTGAACGTGCTTAAGCAGCGTTTGAAGATATTCAAGCGCTGCAATACTTTTCACCGAAAATACGGTGTCTTAACAACTAGTAGAGATAGAATTCTGAAAATTTGTAGTCTGATCAAATTTGGCACGCCCAATTCATTGCAATAAAAATAAATGGGGCATTCTATTTAATTTAACAGAAAGACTACGTGTAGCGCAAAACTGGGAAATCTGGCAACATTGTCAATAGCACTGTTGAATTCCGCATGCCTAAAAACTGTCAGATTCCGAATTGTGTGAACGCGGCTTAAGCAGTTTTGAAGATATTTTAGTGTTGCAGTACTTTTTACTAACCTTGTATATTGCCTAGATATCTACAAGTATTGACATATATTACCTACATAATTAACAAGTAGGTATTGCATAGTATTGACATACAGCTGTATGCAACATCCTCTTTTAACTTAAAAGCGATTTTTAAAACTGGTACCTTTAAAAATTTGTATGGTTTAGAATACACATTTTTAAAAGTGACCAGTTTTAAAAAGCGTTTTCAACTTAAAAGAGGATGTTGCATACAGCTGATAGTATTTACTTGGTATTAGTTTTGTAAAACTCTCGGTAATTTTCGAACGTTACCGAACTTTCGGGAATGTTTGAGAATTTTCGAGAATTTATGAGAACTTTGGAGAATGTTGCAAAAGCACCTATAAATTCGGCTTTTTAATCTAGAGCTTGTAAAAATGTCTAATAATGATAAAGTTTCACTAAATATCCCTATTTTTCTTTTCTCGGGTAGGGGTAGGTGAATTTTCCATAAATGTAGATATAACCCGTGTCTATGTATTATTAATTTATTGTAAAGAAAATTATATTATTTATAAAACTAATACAAATCTTGTTTCTTGTAAGTTGGTGTAATAAAAAACAACGTAGATGTAGGTAGCAGGTAGCGCCAAAAAATAAAACTCAAAAATCTTTAAATGCAAATACCTACATAACATAACTACATAAAGTTTTGAGTCAAAACAAAAAATAATATAAAAAAATAAATTTCGAAATAAAAATAGGAACTCTAAAAAAAAGGAACTTAAAAAACGAACTTTTTGTAGGTAATGGTAATAGCACAAGTAGTTATAAAATAAAAAAATAATAATAAAAATATTCAGAAATCAGGGTTCATGTTCATGATTAATTCTGAAAAATCTTCAGGCCCAACTGAATAGTCGCTACCATAAAGAGAGTATTCTCCTTCTTCTTCTGAAGATGATCCTGATAACTCAAATCAAACGATAAGGCAACGTTTAGAAATGCATTTTCAGCGAACTTTCGCTTAGAGAGGAGCGAACATTACCGTAAATTACGGTAATAGTGCGAACGTTCGCTCGGTATAGTTCGCTTGTTACAACACTACTTGGTATTGACATATATTAACCAGTGATTTGTACACCGATTAACAAGGTGAAAAACCCCTCGTGTTATACATTCTTACAATAATTAATAAATATATACTGTTACAAAACTTTAAACAAAAAACTTGTTAAGTGTCAATTTCCTAAAAAATCTTGATTCTAGGACATGTATATTTACAGTCTCTTTATACATACATAAATATTTATATTTGTTTAGCAACGTCAGTATGAAGAGTTGATGACCTTGTGGTGTCTGCCTGCATAGCTCATTAGGTAAACTGAATGCACCAGGAAGTAGGGGATTGCATTCTTGGGTATGGGTCACTAAATTAAATACTGAACTTTTATAGTGAATTGATTGAAATATATTGTGTATTGTATATGTATACTTGATCAAAGATTTCGGTGTGTTTTCAGCCATCATCAGGGTCAGTTTTGTCAAAACTCAAAATACGAAAAAACACAATAATCAAGTGGGCATATCAATACCTAATGCTAAAATGGATCAATGTCCGAGTCGATTGTTGATTTACAAATAAACAAATAAACGCGATAAAGTGAATACAAGTTTCTCGAAGTAATAATCCCCAATTTTTCCAGAGTGTCAGACGGTAATTTACAAATTTCCAAATTTCAAGTAGTCTCTGTTTACACGAGCTTGGGATTCATAAATATTACTTATCAGATGACAGATATTTTGATAGTGGTGTTAATTATTGTGCATTGTTCTCATAATTAGGCATGCAATAGATTATTTCAAACTTTTCCGAAAATTGGATAATAATCCAAAATTCCAATAATGAATATATTATGGAATTTAAAATTAGGACAAAAGGTAACAAGGTCAATATTTGAGCATTCGCTGTAAACATTTTTGTTATTTTTGCAGAATAAACAATAATTCTTGTCTGTAGGTTGAAAGTATGATGCTATTTTTAATTTTTAGCTGCACCTGCTTGCGGATCTGGTAAATATTTGGTATATAGGTTTAATCTTATAATTGCAAAAGGGTAAGGCGATTTATGAAGAATAGTCTCTAAACACTAATGTCTGATGCAATAAAATATTCATTCATTCTTAATTGAGTTGTTGTACGGGAAACTTTTTTGAATATTCACAGAGGACTGATTTTATTCGATTTGCTCGCTCCAATTAACAAAGAGATAATGTTAGTATTTATGGTGGTAGACAATTTTTAATTATATTCACACAATAGAGACTGAGATCTGAAAACACAAGACTCTCATCATCAACAAAAAAAACAGGAAGCTCTATGGATCAATAAAATTAATATACATCACTGTTATTTCCTGAGCTTGATCCACAGATCTCTACCCTACGTCAAAGATCAGACAATATCAAATATCTTCTACAAACACCAGTCTCAGACCAATGTCCCAGACTCTCATGATAAGTAACAGATGATCTTGTGACACAAACTGTTATAGGTTTGTGAGAATTTATCATCGGCGTGCTTCCTAGATTTAAGATAAATCACTAGGGTTAATGATTCCACATTTCAGTTACTGCAGACCTACCTATAGTAAACCCTTGTTGTTGCGACACAATATACTTCTTGTAAGTCAAAAGAATGAACTCGAGCAACTATATAAATGCAAATGACTTGGATTCACTAAGATAATTAGTGAGGTTCGACTGGTAGGTTGAAGAAAACTGGCCTGTATCAAAAGATACATGAAATAATACCCCGAATGGCTGGGTGAGAGAATCGATCTTTTTGGTAAAAGTTCTAGACAAGACCTTTTGAATCGACTGAATTCCCAAGCTTTTCCATGATTTTCTAATGTTCTGTACACCAATACACTGAGAAAAAGTCACACGTTACCATTCGGTCGAAGTTTAAGTTGCCCAGCTTTACGTTACTATTTTCTCTTCTCATCACTTAGTCAATTTGCTTATTCATTGTCCCATAGGTAAATTTCCCCAGAATTATTGTCACATTATTGTTAATTATCAATTGTTCAAAGAACAAACCTTTTCATGACTGCCTCAGTGTCTAATAACCCAAGTGACCAAGGTTGCGTTTTTAATGACTATTTCCTTTTATTCTAGACCGCTTATGCATAATCGACGCCGTGTGTAGAAGTTAATGAGGCTGTGTTTTTATTCAATCATTATTTTATGGTAACAATGGGCTTTAAGCTTTTTATTGCATTTTTTGTTCACTTTTAATTACCGTGACACTAAATAAATTGCTATTAAATGGTAAAAATAATGACTGGAAAATATCATTGATTTATTTATGAACCTTTCATTGCTTCATAATTGCTAGGATAAATTATCAAAGACACTGTCTCAAAATTGATATTGTGAATTGGTATTCAATATGGTACTATCAAAAATTTCAAATTGTTCAATGCTTTTTGAAAATTGTTTCACTAGAAACAGTATTACACTTGTTATCATGATTTATTTTTTGATCTTCTTAAAACCTACTTAATGTTCAAAATCGTTCCTTGTGAGGTTTTAACCAAACTGGACAATGTTCATGTTTACAGTTCAAGAAACAATAGTGGACTTAGGAACCATCAATTAAAAACACAACTAAAGTAGCAAACAATTTAATATGGGAAGGTACAATGTGTTTTTTTTTTAATTCGTATAGTCGTAGGTATTTTAAGAAAACCGCTAATTTTAGGTTCTAGAATTTTATTACATTCTCCTTAGAACATTTAAATATGATCAATATGCAATTAATACTGATATATCTAAATTATACATATTTTTGAAGCAAAAAAATCATGAAACAAACTATAGTCATATTCAGCAATGCATTTTACGAATTCCAGGTACACTGTTAAAGTCCGAGTGTCAGAAGAACAGCCCTACCAAGTGAGAGAATTCGTTTGGTGCCTTAACTTCCCACCAAGATGCTCCAAATACAAAATCAAGTTCAGAACAGTTTACAAGGATCAGAATTTAGTAAAAACGCGACCCGTAGAGGAGTGTTGCAAGGGCTACGCCAAAAACGCAGCTGAAAATCAATGCATTCCGGTTTGTTCTGATGAATGCCTACACGGTAGCTGTATAGCCCCTGAGACATGCCAGTGTGAAGCTGGGTATGGTGGACCAAACTGTGATATCAGTAAGTTTTTTTGTTAATCCTGAAAATCACTATTGAATTGTTTTTTTTTTATAGCATGCCCAAAAGGTCTTTGGGGTCGCGAATGCCAGCACAAATGCGAATGCCAAAATAACTCGACCTGCGATCCATATAGTGGCGCTTGCGCATGCACTGCGGGTTGGGTAGGCGATCACTGTCAAAAAAGATGCCCGGAAGGTAGCTTCGGACAAGATTGCTTAGAAGAATGCCAGTGTGAGAATGGAGATTGCGACAATGTATCTGGTAAATGTAAATGTCATCCGGGATACACAGGTCCATTGTGCGATACGGTGTGCCCGATCGGAACACACGGAGACTACTGCAAATCAAAATGCCCTTGTCAAAATGGTGGTACCTGTGACTCGGTGACAGGAAATTGCTTTTGTAAAGATGGTTGGACTGGGCTAGTGTGTGCTAACAGGTGTCCATTTGGATTTTACGGTGCAAGTTGTAGTCGAAAATGTGATTGTTTTAATGGTGCTTCATGCCATCACGTTAATGGTACTTGCGACTGTCAGCCTGGATTTACTGGAACAAGGGTATTTGTTTCTGAATTCGTTATTATAGCTTAACTAATTATTGGTGTTCTAATGTAGTGTTTGGATGTTTGCCCGGGGGAGAAATGGGGCAAGGATTGTAAGCAAAATTGTACGTGCCAAAATGGTGGTAAATGCTCAAACAAAGATGGCTCTTGCACTTGTACGGTCGGTTGGATTGGTAAATTTTGCAACGAAAGATCATGTCCTGATGATTTGTGGGGAGAGCATTGTTCAAAATCTTGTTCTTGTACTTTGGAGAACACTGAAGTGTAAGTTATTTTTTTAATTATGATTTTATAAGTGCTTATTAGGTCATCTACTTTGGGTAATAATTGTTCCCAGAAAATTTTAACTCTTAAGTGGCAAAATCTACCCATCTGAGCAAGACATTTATTTGACAGAAGCGCTACGTCCTGATTAACCATGTTCAGATGCGCTGTTTGACAAATGATAAAATTGAGTTGATTCTCCAATGACTAGACAAAATAAGAACCAAATCATTTTCCCACAGTAGTATCTTGTGGCTCACACAATAGAAGGTTGTGTACAGGGATTCCAAAAATAAAAAACATTGCATTATTAGTATCAGTACTGTTCTGAAAACTGTAATGTGTGATGACAAATGTTCCTGTTTAATAAGGATAACATTCTTATCTTCACGAATCTTTGAGGGGGCAATAGAGAAATAGATGTAGAATCTCCAACTCGTGCTTGTTTTTCGGTGAAAAGAAAGCTGAATTATGGAGAACTAAGTAATGCATGTGATCCAAAGGATCAGGGAACAGTCTATCTTCAACAGAGCAATATAACCTCATCATCTCACAAAGGCCAACCTCAACAGTCTATTCCTCCAAACATTCATTATGGACCAACTCACAACAATTATTTCACTTTAATGCTATTCATTCATCAATCATCTCATTTTGACCAGAATCCGTTGACCTTTCATAGGTTTTTATTTACTTCACAGCTTTTGAGACTTACATTCCAGCACCAATCATACATAATACGGTACTTGCATCAATTTTTTTTATCGCTGATTTCGTTAGTCGATAAAAAATAAGTCAACACATGTTTTTTGAGTTTTTTCTTTTTGTTCTTAGTTAAAAATTGACGGAGATACAACACTATGAAATTTGCCTATGACGGCACTTATCATATAAATTAATGACGTCGCACATGCTCAGTATATCTATACAGCGTATTGAACTATCCAAGATGCTGTCAAACTTGAATTAAAATGGCCGCCAAGAGGCACACAAACCCTTTTTTTTATGTGTCATTCAATGATTCAATGTGTCATGAAATTTTTTTCAAAAAAATAGTGCTTATTGTTCATTTGCGTTCTGATACTCATTGTTTTTACTCGTATTTTTATTAATGTTAGAAATAGAACAGATCCCTAGGGCACTCCTGCAGTGATATCCAACCCCTCTGAAGTACTGAACCCCTAGAAGCAGTACTTCATGACAGACACAATCGAAAGCTTTTTTCAGGTCACAAAAAACTACCGCGGCCACTTCGTCGTCATTTTTCTTCTAATACAGCTCATCCAGGAGATGAAATATGGTATCATCAGTGTTTTTTGACTGCTGAAACAGAGACAGAGAAAGCAATTTATGTCTATCAAGGAAGCTCACCATCCACCTTAATTAGCCACTCTACAATTTTAGTCAAAGTTGGCAGTAAGGTAATAAGATGGTTAATTTTATTACCCCCCTATTAAACAAAGGTACTACCCAAGATTGCTTCAAAAATGAGGGAAAACTTCCGGTAAGAAAAGAATTAATAATGGAATCCGCCAACACATCAACAGCCTAACTGAGATATCGTCCCATCCAGAAGATTTTCTATTTTTGATACTCAGTTTCTGAGCAATCGTACAGTAGTATGAATTAATATTATCTGCTTTCAAATTGGAAGCACATATGTATATTGCCCAACCTCTCATTGTAATAAATCTTCCTTGCCTGTTTCTTCGTCTTTCTGTAGATGCTCCTGTATCCATTATTTAAAGTAGGTCATAAAAAATATATTATCAATATCAAGAGCAAACTTTCTTAAAGAATGCAGCCACCTAAATTTTCTAGAAGCAATTCTTAAACCTTTTGTGATAAAGGCTTTTTCTTTTTCGATTTTAACTTGACTAACATAAATGCATGGTTAAAAATCGTTCTTCAATCAAATCTAGAGCAAACTTGTGAAAAAACAATACAAATCAAAGCACAACACTGGACGGTGGAGTTGCAACAAATAAATATTTTCACATTTTAAGGGTAGGTCCTGCGTGTCCAAGTGAAATGTAGGTAGAGCAATTTTGCCCAAACAATAGGGATTCCGTAATTGGGTAGAAACGGCCAAAAATTGAGACGCACACAATAGAAAATGAGTATTTGATTATGATGATTAATGACATAACCTAATGACGTTATGGTTTGTGTTTGTGTCAAATGTTTGTGTGCCTCTTGTTGGCCATATTTGTGTCACGTGTTTTGGATAGTCTAATACCACAGCATATACAAAAACAATCAGCAGGCTAACTCTCACGCGCATCTTTTCTGCGCACGCCGCCATTAGGGGATACCATTTTGTCATAACGTGGTCATAACGCTGTCATTAGACGGCAGGGACGCCGAAATTTTATTTTATTTGTTTATTTCTGACAGAGGTCATAGGCGTGCGGTGTAGGGCGGAATTTTAGTTAAAGTCTGTTTTTTTTTTGAAGATAATTCCCCAAGTCAAAAATTTAGTAACTATGTTGGCAACACAAGCCTTTTCTACATAAAAAATTTGAAGCATTGACAATTTTACATTGTATTGCCAACATGATGTCAGTTTGACTTTTATCTTTAAAAAAAAAAACAGATTTTATGATTTTCAAAGTGATTTTAGTATATTTGTGTTGTCATTTATGGTGTTATCTGTTATCATTGTTGTATATTTAATAATAATAATAAATTACTAATTATAGATATTATTATATGTAAGTAATGATAAATTAGTTTATTTAAAGCGAATACGACTCTGTAACACGAAAGAAAAAAACTAAATTACTGTTAATCAGGCCCTGTCTCGAATCCCAAAATGGCCGCTAGTGACATCCCAACCATGAATTCCTTTATTACACGAGCTGTCACTCGAGTTAGCCTGCTGATTGTTTTTGTATATGCTGTGCTAATACCATTTAAAACGAAACAGGCAAAATATCTGATCTGTCACTTTTATTTATTTTTTTTTAAATCGCTCCTACACGTAATTTGATTGTGTGAGTGCTTGACCCTTACCATTCCAAATGGAACAAGGGGTCGAGTGATATCTGGTTTCTAAAGAGCGTTCCATTTTCTTCCAAATGTTTTCTTCTTTTAAAAGAAGTATCACTCGATCCCTTGTTCCATTTGAACTAGTAAGGGTTGGTTGGGAGTGCTAAAAATGGTTGCAGAAAACTTCCCCCTTTGAAAATCAAATTAGGTACGTGTATGAGCAATTATTTTGAAAATAAACGTGGCATCAGATATTCATCCTGTTTCGTTTTGAATGGTCCACCCTGTATATACAAAACTTAATATTTGTAAAACTTCCGAAATAATCGTACTAGGATAAAACAAAAAAACCCGCATCGATTTTTTTTTTATTTGGTTTGCAATAAACAATAATCAATTTAATTTTTCATGCAAGTACCGTATTTCTCTGCAAGGTAACATCATTTCCACATACAGAAGACTGCTTGAATCAGAGGGAGGTGGCAGCCATGCACATTTTTTTTTCCACAGTGATAAGATTATTCATTTATTCAATCAACGTTTCAATAGTTGAATTGTTAAATGTTTTCTGTCCTATTCTCTATAAGTCCGTTTATCACAAAATATCAAAGCAAGAAAGCACCTCTTTGCTGATATATTTCCAAAATGTCAGAGGCCTACGTACAAAACTTCAACTTCTTTATAAAAATACCTCTTATTGCCAATATGATGTTTTAGTCTTTAACCTGGTTAACTGGCGATATTAATGATGCTGGACTAGAAATGTTTGACTACAACATATATCGAAAGGACGGATCAACAGATACAAGTACTTTTTCTAGAGGAGCTGGGCTGTCCGTAAAACCATAACCAGCACAGTTTTATCAGCTACTATAAATATTGAGCAATTGTTTTTGGTTTTAAGTTGATGAATGTTCAAGAAGTATCAAGTTTCCTTTATCCTTTTTAACTGGGATGATTTATTCAAGAACAAATCTCTTGACGATATGGTTAATATTTTTTACGACATTGCCTACCTAACAATTGATATTTTTGTTCCTTTGGGAAAGTATTCAGTAGGGAAGTTTCCTATTTGGTTTTCTTCAGAACTAAAACAAACGATAATTGAAAAAAAGAAATTGCATGAGAAATACCGTAGAAGTAGATCAGATTATAATGAATTTTCTTTATTACGGGCTCACTGTAAACACCTAAAAAAAGAATGTTATCAAAGTTACGTTGCTTCAACCGAATCGTCTCTTAGAGATAATGTTAAAAATTTCTGGAAATTTGTTAACAGCAGAAAAGCCAAAAATAATATACCTTCTGTAATGCGCTATAATGGTGTTACTAGTTCTTCTGGAGTTGGGATTGTCAATTTGTTTGCTGAATAGAAGATTTCATTATGAATGACTTTGGCAGAAAGTCGACAAACAAAGTCACATAACCTATAAATAGCATTGTCAATGTTATTAATTTTTTTTCGGGCTTAAATTTAATAATTATGTCAGTTCTGGGGGAACGTGGTATGTTGTTAGTTTCATCAAACGTTTTGCAACCAAAGAAGCCATAGCGAATGCACCGAATATTTACGAAAGCGTAGATTTGACAAGATGCTGTGTTACCTTAAACTCCAGTGGAGGCAAATGGGGTCGTTAATTTAATGGAACTCGTTCGACTATCACTTTTACAATCACCAAACACACATCGCTTCATCGCCTCTCGATAAAACATATCACGTTCTCCCAAAACTGCCATAATTATTAAATTTAAGCCCAAAATTGAAAAAAATTAAAAACATTGACAATGCTATTTATAGGTTATGTTATGTGACTTTGTTTGTCGACTTTCTGCCAAAGTCATTCATAATGAAATCTTCTATACTTTTCCAAAACTTCTAGTGCTACAGACTGTTTATTGCAGGACGTTCTGCCTTCTGGGCACATCAATCTGTTGGACTATAACATACCTATCTCGTCTATCTATGAAAAACTATCCAAATTGGATATTAACAAGGGACCAGGACCTGATGGCCTCCCACCATCACTTATCAAGCACTGTAGCTTCTTGTTCTCTAGATCTTTTTTTCATATCTTCAACCTCTCTTTAAAGACCGGAACATTCCGAGTCTTTTGGAAAACAAGCTTTATTACTCCCATATTGAAGTCTGGAGATAGTTCACAGGTTAATAACTATCGGCCCATAAGTATATTAAGTTGTATCCCCTAAAGTATTTGAGAGTCTTGTTTGTGATTACTTGTTTAAAAGGCTGTTTTATCGATCAACAATTTGGATTCATTTCTCATCGCTCCACTGAACTTAATCTTTTAACATGTACTGACTATCTCTTGGAATCCTTGGAGGGGGGTTATCAAGTTCATGCTGTTTACACTGATTTTGCAAAGGCATTCGATCGGGTTAACCATAGAGTTTTAATTAATAAGTTGCAGAGTCTGGAAATTCAGGGTGTCCTTCTAGAATGGCTTTCCTCTTACCTTATGAAAGAACATAGATAGGGCGTATTCAGGGATTCCAATCAATAGAAATTAAAGTACCATCGGGTATACCCCAGGGTTCACATGTGGGTCCTCTTCTTTTTAATTTATATGTGAATGATATTGCATTCTCTTTTGTCTTTACCTTCTTCTCAATGTTTGCAGATGACTTAAAATTATACATAAGAATCAAGAATAATACTGATTTCCTAGAACTGCAAGCCGACTTCATTAAGATCGTCTCAGCAACTGGTGCGAAATTAATGCTATGGAACTTGATGTTAAAAAGTGCCATCTGATGGTTTTCATTCGTAGCAGGAACCCCACAGAACAAGTCTACACTATAAATGGTTGTCCTTTGGAACCTGTATGTCAAATTAAAGATCTAGGTGTAGTCCTTGATTCCAACTTATCTTACATACCCCATATATCAATGGCAGTATCAAAATCACTTCAAATCCTAGGTTTTATTAAAAGGTGTGCTAAAGATGTTCTTAATATAGCATCCATCAAAATATTATTCTGTTCTCTTCTGAGGCCTCATCTGTTCTTGTCTATGGTCCCCCCACTACAATCTCCATATCCAGGATATTGAGAGAGTCTTACATAAATTCTTGAGATTTATTCCATTTAAGGAACGCCATGAAGCTGAAGATATCAATTACTCACGGGTTGAAAGTTCCCTTAATATTACTACTCTCCAGATCAGACGCATGCACAAGGATCTTACCATATTCTATAATCTACTGCACTCATATAGCTTTGGTCCAGAGCGACTGGCAAAAGTCAATATCCATGTCCCTTCTAGACAAACAAGGCTTAATCGGCCTTTCCGAATTGGACACCATCGGTCTAACTACGGATATAATTTTTTTCTGTCAAGGTCAGCTAATTATTATGTTGACAGGTTGGACTGTTTTGTTAATCAAAAAACTTTTAAATACCAGCTAAAGTCCTGTACCCTGTGATATTTTATTGTCCCTAAATAATTATAATTAAAGAAATTTAAAAAAAAAAAGTTAATTATAGTATTTTGTAGTATTGTTCAAATTATAAATGAGTTAAAAATTTCATGGGTGACCTGTTTCTTTGATTGTTTTAAGTATCTTCATTTTTTTTTATGTAATCATAACTTTTCATTTGCCTCTAGATGTCACGCTACTACAGGAGAATGCTTCTGCAAACCAGGATGGAACAGTCAGGATTGTTCCAGACCCTGCCCGATTTTAACCTTTGGCAAAGGATGTGCGGGCAATTGCAAATGCAAAAATAACGCACAATGTTCCCCTGTTAACGGCACCTGCTTGTGCGGCCCAGGATTTACGGGAAAAGAATGTGAACAACCCTGTCCAGTGGGCTCTTGGGGAGAGGATTGTGCTCATAAATGCGATTGTAAGTCAAAAAGCTATTCTTCTATGCTATTATTAATTTAATTCAATAATTTAGGTAAGAATGGGGCTACTTGTTCGGCAGAAACAGGGCAGTGTCAATGCCAACCTGGCTGGGAGGGCCAACAATGTGACAGACCTTGCAGTAATAATCATTTTGGTTTGCAATGCAAGGACAAGTGTGATTGCAAGAATGGGGCATCTTGCAATCCAATAAATGGTTAGTAACACTAATATTCCTCAACACAGTTATTATTAAGTTCAGAAGCCTCCTCAAGTTTTCTGGCATTGACTGCAACACCATTTTTTTACTGACAATATTTGAAATTTATTTTTCCTATAGCCGTGCGGAAAAATCGATTTTCCGCACTGATATGCGTGCGGAAAATGAGTTTTCCCGCACGGTGCGGTAAAACTTTTTTTTTTCATATCAGTGCGGAAAAAGTTTTTCCGCACGGCTGCCAGTGCGGAAAAAATTTTACCGCGCTGATAAGTCAAAAAAAAAAGAAAATTTTTACATTTTTTCGCCTGTAGGAAAAATATTGTACCTAACACTTGCGGAAAATATGTTTCCGCACTCGGCTGCATCACCGAACTCCGCTACGCGTCGTTCGGTGAACGGCAGCCGCGTGCGGAAAAATTCATTTTCTGCACTTGTTAGGTAAATAGCTATTTTCTCCAAACGTCAAAAAAACGTCACTTTGTCAATACCTGTCAAGATGGTAGAAATTTAATTTCTATGCTGCTGGGTAAATCCAGGGGGTTAACACCTGTCGAGGTGGTAGACATTCAATTTCTATGCTGCTAGGCAACCCCAGCGGCAGTAAAAGTACTTTTAGTGCCGCTCGTACTTTTACTGCCGCTCAACCATTCAGTACCCCCGAGCTTACCACATTCGTTTGGAGAAAAAATAGCGTGTTGCATACGGAGTAGAAGCACTTTTTTGGGCTTCAGCAGTATTGCAAGCCTCTCTACGTTCGGCTCGCAAACCTACTGCTTCAGCACAAAAAAGTAAAGCTTCTACTCCTTATACAACAATATACTATTTAATCTCAAAAGTTAATTTTCTGTAGTTACAAAATACCTTGTTTTGCATGTTTTTTTTTATTACGTTTGCATGTATGTTTGTTGTTTGTGTTTGTGTAGGAACTTGCACATGCGCAGCAGGCTTTACTGGCCCATTCTGCGATAATAATTGCCACACGGGATACTATGGCATTAACTGTGAGTTGGTTTGTCAATGCGACTCTGAGAATAGTGACGGATGCGACCCGGTTACTGGCAAATGTATATGTAAACCAGAGTGGCAAGGTAGATTTTGTTTTTTTTTTTTTGTATGTAGAATAGCTTCGTTGCAGATTCCTCTGATAAGTTAGAGAATCTTGCATAGTCCTAGTGGCTGATATATTAGATTCCAATGCTTTTTTAGAATGTTAGTGTAAATACACGTTAACTATAGAAAAAGATGGGACTGTGGGTTGCATCCAAGACACGCAAGACAGAGTGAGAACCTAACAATTCGTATCTTTTCCTTCAGTTGACGACTATAAATAATATTTTAGTAAATTGGAATAATTTTCGATTAACATAAAATTTTAGGCGTTAAATGTGAAACAAATTGCCCCAAAGGCAAATTCGGCCCCAACTGTGATCAAAATTGCAACTGTAAAAATAATAGCTCCTGTGATCCTCAAACGGGACAGTGTATCTGCTCTAGAGGATGGCAAGGAAACGATTGTTCAAAACCTTGTGAAAAAGGTTGGTATGGAATTGGATGTAGGCAACAATGCCCTGAAACAGCAACTGGTAAGTGTCCGTTTTTATTTTCAAATCTATCAGACATGTTATAAAAAAAACACTTTCTTGTTTAGTATTTGTAGCTTCTTAAATTCATGAAAAAGACCTATAAAATTGGTTGGTTTTGTCAACGTTTGTTTCCAACTTATTGTATGATAAAATGTTAATTCTGTAAAAAAAAAAAATTAAACAAAATCCACTTTGTATCATTAATCTCATAGGTAATGAAAATACAGATAAGATATTTGAAAGAGGCCCATCACAACAGTTTATTGAATCAAAATCGTTTTGTGGATGGATGGATAAAACGTCGGACAGGTGGCTTAGTATCCCAGGACAAGAACAAGCCAAAGAATATATTTATAAACCTTCAATAAAATTAGCCTCTAACATACTTTCCTACAATCGAAAAACTATACGCTTAATATTAAGCCTACTAACGGGACTTTGCCGTTTAAATATCCACTTAAATCTAATAGTAATTGGCAATGAAACAATATGTACTCTGTGCCAAGAACATGAAGAATCAACAAAATATGTACTTTGTCTCTGTGAAAATCTTTTAAAATTACGCTTCGAAGTTGTGGATCCAAATGAACCAGAGGAAGCAACCTACTTGAGCAATATATTGGTGAAGCTTTGGAATTTGATTAGAGAGACCCAGCTAGGTAGAGTAGACGCTGACTTAAAACCACAGATCATTCATAAAAAGCTTATTATTTTATGTATGGACAACCCTATTTTGGTTGTGGGCAAAGGTGATCCAGACGGGATAGGATTGGATATTAATATTTTACATCTGCTTTATTTGTACATGTATATTTCTTAACTTGAAATTTGTTAGTGTGGATGTGGTAAGGACAAATAGAGCCACAGATATCTGAACTCATTGAAACTGCGGAAAGGACAATGTGGCAGAGACTGATATAAATAATTGATAATAAAAAACCATACTCTGCCTGGGTTGTTTTTTTTAGGAAATTTAATTAGGAAACTTAAAAAGCAGAGGCAATACTGTTGTCAATAAGAACTAATAAGATTTTATGTGGTTCTCAACTCATTTTATTCACAAACCTTAGCAGTGTCCTTCCGTTAACGAGTATTCTTTATGTTCTGAATAATGTGTTAAGAATCTGGGCTCAGCTATATTTGTTGTCTTTCAGATTTTAAGTCTATTCAAATACTTTCTTTATACTTCAATAACTGAGAAATATGTAATTTGAACAGGCTAAAGTTAAAATACAATAAGCAGCTTAATTATTGTTTTTAGACAACAGAACTTGCGATCATATAACTGGAGAATATATCTGTTCTCCTGGATACACTGGGCCTATGTGCGACAGACCTTGTCAAGTCCAATATTACGGTAAAAATTGTGAACACAAATGCAATTGTAAGAATGGGGGCGATTGCCATCATGTCTCTGGTAAGAATTTTAAATTTTAAAATAGCTGGGTATTAAATATTTTTCAATTTAGGTGAGTGTCAGTGTCTGCCTGGTTGGATTGGACCAACATGCGCATTACCTTGTACACCGGGTCGATTTGGAATCAGTTGCAGTCAGCATTGCAAATGCTTGAATGACGGAGAATGTAGAAGAAATGATGGTGTTTGTAGGTGCAAACCAGGATGGACTGGAACCCAGTGTAGCGAAAGTAAGAATTGTACCTTAATTCAAAAAAGTGCTCAATTGCCAAATAATGCTTTTTCGTTGATGAAAATTGTCATATTATAAAAAGTAATTAATATTTTTTTCTAGTTTGCCCAGAAGGCTACTATGGTGATCATTGCATGAAGCCCTGCGAATGCAAAAATGACAACTTCTTTTGCCAACCGGCAGTTGGTTGCGTTTGTAAACACGGATTCACCGGTGAAGATTGTATGGAATCAAATTTGCTACGCCTACAAAATAGAGAGGAGAGTGGCAACACTGGAATCATCGTTGGCGTCATTATGGTCAGTGCTGTTTTTATTGCGATTGTAGTGCTGGTCATTTTCTATTATAAACGGAGAGTTTCGAATCTTAAAACTGAAATTGCTCATGTTCAGTATATTGCGGATCCATCTGGATTTTCACCAGGTAATACATTTTAATTATTTAACGATATATTGTTAAATGTATTGTATGGAAAACATGTTTTATTAATTAAACTTTTATACAACTACTGTCTGCTTCAAAATTCAAAGAAATTATAACGAATAGCACCTATCAAATTTGTAATTTATGTTTTAAAACTGCACTGATTACACAAGAAAATATGTTTGTGCCTAGTCTGTGTCTATTTCTTTTATTAGGCCATCTCACATTGTAAAAATTTCCAAAATTCACTAAACTTTATTCTTATTTTAGTAAAACTAGAGAAACTTTACATCAAGTAAGACAAATATTGTCAGCGCAATTTTTATTTTTGTTTAGAAGTGTGTTTGAGACGTTGTATAATAATAAAATATTATTTATCTTCCAGTGGTTGTTGGATGGCATTTTGCATCATTTTTAAAGCAAAAAGTAACTTTGCTCAATTTAATTAATTTGAAGTGTTTCCATAATAGGTCATTTCGGGTTTGGAAAAAGGACGGTTCTACAACGGTTCAAAACAATCGGACAGTTTTTCAATCAAGAAAATGACAACAACTCGGCTATCACAAATTTCAATAATAAACTCCGATTGTTTTGAACTGTTCTAGAACCGTCCTTTTTCCAAACCCGAATATGCCTATTGATGCTGACTTTTACTTATTACACATATTCAAATATATGCTATTTTATAGATCGTAATCATTTCGACAATCCTGTATATACGTTCCAAGGCCCAATCAAACGTGACAACGAAACTTTGCTCAACAATGTCGCACCGCGGATAATCAATAATCTACACAAACCTACCAATACGATTATGGAACGTGCCAGACTGGGTGGTATGGCCAGTTGCTCGACCGATGATGATGAATTCGCTCCTAAAGGTAACAAGTTCAGTTAACTAGCGTTTTTATTACAAAGTTCCGAATTTTAGGAGCCTATGGTACCAATATAGATGAGCTGAGGCGGCTGAAAAATAGAGATGCAGACGCTACGAATCCTAATATTTATCATAGCATTGATAAATTAGATCATGTCTATGATGAAATCAAACAGAAAGAAGTTAAGGATATTGGTAAGTAATTTTATGGACTTTGGCCAGTTTGCTGATAAAAAAATTCACAGCGTTATAAGTTGATGCTTCTAATAATAAATAAATGTCTTCACATAGGTCTCATCAAATGGAATTAATAACATGTAAGTTGCCTCATGATGACCTTTATCACCTATATGATTCTGATATGTATAAGTAATATGCACCATACATTGACATTTGTATGGTTTTGTTGAATTGAATGAATCGGAAAAGTCCTGATTTTGTAAAATTCGGCCTAGAATATGTAGACAGAGATTAGAGATTATTCTTTCTTCCATGACTTTTTACAATTTGAGCTCCTATGGATAGCTTTCATATAATTTTATGTAATTATCAAATCATTCTCAATATACATTTTTTGTAAAGGCTCGCTTTCAAGTCGAATAGAATTTTGTCTGTAATCAAAAAACTATTGTTATTCAAAAGATCATCATGGCATTAACGTTTAAAAATGAAATTGGGGCTACAGCAGCCACAGCTATTCCTAAGGCAGCACGTTCTTTCAGTCCAATTTTTGTTGCCTTATGTCACTTATACCACAAACATTGTCCGCTTCCAAGACATCAACTGTTGCTGGTTTATAAGTATAAAACAACCTTGAGGTAGAATATGGGAAATATTATGGAGGAAGCGTCAAATCACAGAACCTTAGTGGTCATTTGGCGCAAGTTCGTCTTTAAGAATCAACTTGTCGCTAAATCTATTTTGCAAACCTTATACAGAGGTCAATATGTGTTATGAAAGTGGTGGAAAACCAAAATGTAGCGATGGAGGAAGAAAATAACAAGGAATATAAGAAGTCATTTATTGGGTTAGTTTGGGGTGTAAAGAATTTTATGAAAAAGAAATTGATAAACTTATCTTCATGATATAATTGAACGACCGAATGAACAGTGCCTCTTGTATAGATGGAATTTTCAGTCGCTGATTGAAACCATATATTCAATGATAAACCTATCATTGGAGTACATTTTAAATTCAATCTTTATAAATGATATGGTACTGTATCATTTAAAGTTTTTCTTATACCATTGATAAAGCGGGGTCAGTGAAATAAAATACAAAACTATAAAACTACTAGCTGATACAAATTTTAGATCTAAAATGTTTGTTTTTTGTCATTTTACATTCAAAATTATCTAAAGTATCTAAGATCATGAAAATTCTCTTTCAGAAACCGAATATGATCATCTAGACTACACTAGACCAGTCAGCACATTGAAACCTCACTATCAAAGAATGCCATCACCGTTTGGCTCCAGAGATCTAGTAAAAGAAAGCAAATCTGATACTGAAGAATAAATTAGGTACTTGAATGTCTAATAGGAGTAAGAAATGATTATTGGCCTAACTTCTGGTCATTATATTATTTCGAAGTTTCACTTTTTATCGTTGGAAGCATAATTAGAAGGTGAATTAAATTCTCTTAAATGCATATGGAAATTAATAACGACAGAAATCGCTGATTTTACTACAAATTTACACAAAACTTTATATACATATCAAAATGTGGTTGCTATTCTTTCTATGCTTCTATTAGTATTGTTTTATAGAGAATGATATTCATTTTTCACAAAATATGACAATATATTGAAACTTTTAGCATCCATTTTTAAACAATACCTATATTCTATATACATATTAAGGTTTTGTGCATGTGAATTACATTTTAAGTGCAATTTTAAATTTTAAAAATCATATTGGTAAATACATGTTTGAAACATGTATTTTTTTAAAATTTATTGATTTTAATTATATAATTTTTTGTAAATAGCATTTTTAAAAGCCGTTATTATCGGAGTATTATAAACATACATAAAATATTGTATCAATCTAATTGTGCCAACTATTTTTACGTGTATTGTGTGTATATATATGATGAAAAATATCTATTTTACATTCCCCCTTTTAAAATATCTTTCTACTATTTTTGATAAAAATTAAAATTATAATCGTAGATGAGATGCCAAATTCTAGAACAAAAGTATTAATTATCGAATAAAGACATGTTTTGTCAATCTGTGATTCTTTTATATCTTTGGCTTTTTTAATTGGCAACTTTTTGAGAAAAAACTTTATGACATTTACATTAAACATATCCAAAATTAGGCATAAACTATTTCCTGCTTCAAGCAGCTATTATTAACTTCCTAAATATCAGTGCAATCGACTTTATTAATGAGAATGCCCCAAAAATTACTATGTATTTTTAGGGCATTTTTAGAACAAAAATTGCTCATATTTTATAAAATCTTGACAAGCTTTCTATACAGTGCAGTTTGATAGATAGCTAGAAATACCCTTTTTCAACAATACAAAGTCTGAATCACAAATTTTAATTATTATTATTTTAAAGCAAATAAATGAACGAAAATAAGCTAAAAATAAACTTGTTTTATGTAAAGTTTTATACAACAAAATAAGTGATGAGAAACGCACTGTAACCTTTTTCATGTTCAATCTAATAACACTTTTTAAAAACCATTTAGCACTAAAATCCAATATAGAACACAAACGATTAAATTTAAAACACTATTGAAAAGAGATATTTAATGTATGTAAAAAAACATATACCTGCATAATTTTAAGGTCTATAATTTATATTATTATATTTAATTCGTCTAGTTTATCTGGTGTATTGCATAGCAATAATTTAATTTAGCATATCAAAACAATTTATATCATATTTAAATAAAATTAATTATATAGTAAGATTAATCATTTTTGTGACAGATATGTGTGTGCTAAGTTTAATTAAATGTTTTTGATTTCTGTGATTTTATACTTGTAAGTATCTACTGAAAATATAATATACAATAAATAAAATAAAAACTGTTTTATTTTCAAATGTCATATAACAGTAATTGACAGTAATTTTTGGGATCGTTTTGACAAAGTACGTTTTTGACAAGGTATAAGCACAGTTTATACCGTACCGATACAGTTGTTCAACTCCGTTGACAAACCATTGATTTTTTTGAAGCCAAATTCTATGTCCCTATATTTCGCGCTCGCGCATTATTGATCGGAAACAACGAATCCTGGGCCGTGGACAGAGTCGGACTAGGATTTTAGGTGGATTAACATTGAGAATATAACGGGATCATATTATAATTTGTGGACAATTATTTCATCAGATCACGATTATGTGAATGTATAGAGTAAACCTAATATGAAATATGTAAATATAAATACTTACAGTCGTTCATTGTTCGGGAAACTAAAATATCCTAAGCCTGGGCTAGTTCTAGTGTTGTTTTTACAGACAAAACAGGAAGCAACCATGATAATACACAATATATAAACGATAAAACAGTCAAGTACACAAAAATCGCGAATAACACAGAAAGCAAAACACTCTTAACAAAGCCGAATTTCAAATTGATGAATTTTCCGGTTACTTTTTAATTTCCTGAATAATTTCAGTCAAAAAACTTCTCTTCTTTTTTTGTAATACAATCCTGTTGGGTGTCTCGTTTGACAGTTATTTCTCGCGGGTTTTTCAATTTGAGAGATTCGTTCACTCATTGAGCGCATGCGCAAGATATGGGTCAAAATGCTCCTATTGGTTGGAGAATTTGGCCTCAAAAATATGGAGAGTTGTACAACTGTATCGGTATGGTATAAACTGTGGTATAAGTCACTTCCAGGGCCGCCGCTACCATAGCCGCTTTCCAGTATGGGAGTGTGACGCCCGGAGCTACTCGGGGCGTGGAGCCCCCGAGTTGTACGTACGCGTTAACCTATCAGCTGTCACATCTGTGGGTGGCTATTTATCTATTTATTTCTTGTTATATCTCAAAATTGAACATTTTGAAATATATAGTTTTGATTCTCTTTCATTTTTGATAAATAAAAAAACAAACTGCACAAACAGATAATTATTTTTAAAATTTGACATATTTGACACTAAGACAGGCGTCTCACGCCATAATACTGGAACGGTACAAATCTAGTGCGTGGCGCCCCCGAGGTGCTCTGGGGCGCGCCAGAGCGCGCCAATGTGCATACTGGAAAGCGGCTCATGTGTGCAAAGTGTGCTCCGCACACGGGCGGCCAAGAATAGGGGCGGCCAAAACACACCCCACTGATAATACTTTTTTTTCCAAACAACGAAAAAAATTAATTTAAAGTAAATAATAATGATTCTGTATACTCCAATATTTGTACATTTCCCTGGTACACCCTGCATAACAATAGTAGATTATACCACGAGTCAATAATGATAGCTATTATTCCCGAGGATTATTACGAACTGAGCCGCGTTAGCGGCGAGGGAGTAACATTCCAAGGGAATAATAGCCATTATTGCGAGTAGTATACTCTACTTTATTTACGACAAATTAATTTATTTGAGATTTTCAATGAACAAATTTCATCCGTCTCATAATTTTCAATACAAATCCACAAGCACTACACGTTTGACACTGACACTTTTGTGGAATAATGACCATTAATCCCGCTACTCGTCATTAATCCCTGGAGGAATAACATATGTCATTATACTGCCAAAATCACAAATATAATACGCACATTATACATTAGTCGTAAATAATAATTATTTTTTCTTCAAACGTCAAAAAACCTGACATTTATCTACTAATTTTGTGGTGTTTAGGGGTTCTTTCTGTTATCAATAAAACTAGTCACGAACGATAATGAGTTGTATTAAAAATATCACAGTTAAGATTATTGTCGGGCTTATATTACAGGGTACTTTGGATGAGGCGCGTGGCTTGTTTTTGGGCTGTTCTCTAGTGGACTGGTTCTTCCAGTCGCTGTGTCATGGAGCTTCATACTTTGTTCCTTTCCGGAAGTAGACGGCGCTGATAGGCGGTTGCTTAATTGGTTGCTAAGTTGGTTGCCTATACGTATATAACAAATTTCATGATGTTAAAGTCTTGGTTAAAGTTTAACTTTTATGTCAGTTGACGGTTACTATGGACAACGGAAGTAAAAGACTTTCACCTCCGCTCGTGAGCGGAAGTAATAGTATATTGTTTTATTAGGAGTAAAAGTGATACTTTTTGTGGCGAGGCTAAACGTTTGACAATTTTAGACGAACCACAAAAAGTGCTTTTCTCCGAATAAAACATACTATTTTTTCCGCAAATGGTGTTCAAAGTGATGGAATCCAAGAATTTTCTGTGACGTCACTTTTTTGTCCGGCCGTGAGCGTAGAAAATAGTTATTTGTTTCACTAGGCAGAAAAGTACAAGATTCTCGGCTGGTTTCCTAGCCTCGGCTACGCCTCGGCTATGAAACACCAGCCGCGGCATTAAATCTGCTTTTCTGCCATGCAAAACATATAATTTTTTCTCCGAATGTTCAAATTCACACATGGACGTCTTTTTTATATTTATTTCATTCATTATTATTATCCAAATAATTTAATTATTTTGACAATTGTCATTGTCAACATCAATTTCAAATACAAAATTGAGTGAAATTATTACCTGGAATGTTGTGACACTGTCACTTTTAATGCCTAGGCAGTAAAAGTCCACTTTCACTGCCTAGGCAGTAAAAATACAACTTTTGATCCTGTCAAGTGTCATTAAAAGGCCGCTTTTACTGTCATTCGGAGAAAAAAGTACTTTTTTGTACGTTCACGGAACGCACGGACAAAAAAGTAACCAAAAAATGACGTCTGTGAAGTGAAAATTCAACATTAAGAATTGATGTTAAAAAAGTCGTAATTTTTTGACGTTTGCGGAAAAAAGTCTTCTACCTCCGCTTGTGAATATTTGCCATAACAACGCAAAGATTGACATTTTTTCATCTAGTTGGAGGATTGTTCGGTGATATCATTAATATTTGAGAAAATTTCGATTTTTTCTATTATTCAGACATGTTTGAAGAAAAAATATCGTGTTCTATTCGGAGTAATAGCTACTTTTACTCCATAGAGTTTTACTCCTAATAAAACAATATACTATTATAAGCTTAGTCTACATAGAAAACACTGGAATGCATGCATTTTATTTATGTATCCTTTTTTTCAACTTCATCCAAACAGAAACATTATTGTATATTATCTAGCTTTGATACTGATACTGATACTGCCGACTTTGCCAAATGTTGAATATTACTTCAAACTATTTACTGATTTCTGTTGATATACATATAAAAAAAGTAACTATGCAACTTTTATACAATTTGTTAAATAGGTATATATATTAGTACCTGGCAGTGGCGGCTCGTCAGAGGAGGTAGTGCCGCCCCTGCCGTAAAAGGTCTTTCAAATATTTTTTTTGAAGGTCACACCCAAAAACGTTTATTTTAACGTTTTTGGATGTGACACTCGAAAAAAAATTCTGTCTCCGGCGGCGCCTGCGGCGGGCTTTAGCTTTCCTGCTCTATAATGGAGAAACACAGGGAGGAAGGGGGCGGCAAATATTGAGTTGCACACGGGCTGCCAATACCTTAGCGGCGGCCCTGGTCACTTCAACGACTTTCAGCTTGAGCGGCGTATAAGCACTATAAGTGTTAAGCACTATAAGTGTTAAGCCGGCAACGGACAGTGAGCGATAATATATATATTATAATAGTTAGGGAGACGACCGCATTTTTCCTACCCCGATCGAGCTATGTGCTGACATTATTATCAATATATAGTATTATGTGCATCTATTAACCGGTATTCCTGCCTGAGAGCAAATGCTGCCGGAAATATCTTTTCCTACAGCCGTGCGGAAAAATCGATTTTCCGCACTGATATGCGTGCAGAAAATGAGTTTTCCCGCACGGTGCGGTAAAACTTTTTTTTTTTTTTCCGCACGGCTGTCAGTGCGGAAAAAATTTTACCGCACTGATATGTCAAAAAAAAAAAGAAAAATTTTACTTTTTTCGCCTGTACGGCAGCCGCGTGCGGAAAAATTCATTTTCCGCACTTGTTAGGTAAATAGCTATTTAACAAATTATTAACAAATTGAAAAAAACGTAACACTACCCCCATCGAGTTATGCCCTAAGTAGGGTATCAGATTGAAGGTCTCGATGTCCTTTATCTAAAAAGTCGATCCTGCCTCGTGAGAACTTGCCGGAAAAAGGTGGCAGGACAGCTTATTAAGGCAAGGGCCCGCGGTCCACCCGCGGTCTCTGCTTTGACACCTATCAAGCTTTGCACTAAATGATGTGTCAAATTAAAGGTGTCAATAAGTTGATTTAAGGTCTGTTCGCACAGAAATCACAAACCAGTCAGAGCGAATTTCATTGGTTGGAAACAGTTAGGAAACTAGTTTCGAACAATAAAATTCTACTCCTTCTGGTTTGGGATTTCTGTGCGAAGAGACCCTAAATCAACTTATTGACACCTTTAATTTGACACATCATTTAGTGCAAAGCTTGATAGGTGTCAAAGCAGAGACCGCGGACCCTTGCCCCAATAAGCTGTCCTGCCACTTTTTTCCGGCAAGTTCTCACGAGGCAGGATCGACTTTTTAGATAAAGGAAATCGAGACCTTCAATCTGGATACCCTACTTAGGGCATAACTCGATGGGGGTAGTGTTACGTTTTTTTCAATTTGTTAATAATTTGTTAAAAGATATTTCCGGCAGTATTATTTGCTCTCAGGCAGAAATACAGGTTAATAGATGCACATAATAATATATATTGATAATAGTGTCGACACATAACTCGATCGGGGTAGGAAAAATGCGGTCGTCTCCCAGACTATAAAGTCTGTTTTTTTTTTTTAATCCCCAAGACA